CCATCACGAACACCAAGACGGACGGTGATCACAAACACGGCGGAGTGAAACAGGTCATAGAGTATATACATTAATGAAGGCGTTAAGGGAGAGAGGAGTGATTGGAGGGCGAAGGTCGAGTTTTAGGGCGGGCGAGGCATCAAGGTCAGGGTTGACAAGTCCCTCGAGGGGCCCCTGGACGTTGTGGTAACCCATCAGGGGGGCGGGGCGGGGCACGGTGAAGGGGCAAGGTTAAGAGGGCAAGACCTGAGGGGAAGGAGGGATGGGTACCTGCCACGCTTTGCCATAAACAGATAAATTGTACCGGGAAATTTCCCCCCCCACACACTCATCATTCTGTCACTTTATGTAACTTGCTGACAAAACCCATTACCCTTCAGGCTTTTACGCCCTTAATTCATGACTCATAAAGGCAAGCATGAACTCTGCATGCTTCCCAAATGGGCGCTGTAAACGCTTCTGCGCTTCACCTTGCACAGGATGTAAGGGGGTGCCCAATAAACTAGCCTCCTCGGGGGCAATCTAATCTAGCGAGGGAGAGAGGAAAGAGGGAGGAGCAATGAAAGACGAAGGAGGGAGAAAGGGAGAGGAAGAGGGTAGGACCTAAGGAGGGTGGAGGAAAGAAGAAAGAGGAAGTAATAAGGAGGGGGAGGAGGAGGTGATGGTGGTAACAAATAAACAGAACCAAAATGAATCAAAGAAACTTAGGCTCCTAATTACTACTCCTGGTGCAGTGGTGAGACGTATCGTAATTACAACCTGTAGGAGGTGTAGACGACGAGGCTATAAAGTACACAGGTCTTGTCTCCTCATTAGAAGACACTCCGACCCCCCCACCCCCTCCAGAAGCCAAGACACTGTGCCTTGTGTGTCTGTGTGACCATTGTTATTGAAGGAGGTACACACGCACACACACACCTCACACACACACACACACACACACACACACACACCTCACACACACACACACACACACACACACACCTCCCACCCACACACACACCCACACACACACACACACCTCCCACCCACACACACCCACACACACACACCCACACACACACACACACACCCACACACCTCCCACCCACACACACACATCCCACCCACACACACCTCCCACCCACACACACACCTCCCACCCACACACACACACACACCTCCCACCCACACACACACACCTCCCCACACACACACACCTCCCACACACACACACACACACACACACACCCCACACACACACACACACACACACACACACCTCCCCCACACACACACACACACACCTGACATAAATATTCAGTAAGTATCTCCAGCCGTAGTGAACAACTGAAGATGATGGTTCGTTATAAAGGTTCAGTGAGGCGATACATTGAATTTGGTTCGTTTTTTTGTGGTTCAATGAGTCGACACACTAAAGATGGTTCATTCTGAATATGGTTCGTCCCAGTGGTTCAATGAGTCAACACACTATAGTCTACACCTGTATATAGAGGGTTCCCTACTAACCTAAACTAACCTAACCAACACACTGCAGATGGTTCATGCTCGGTGGTTCACTGCGCCAACACACTGCAGATGGCTCCCGGCTATACTGTGTGGGTCACGTTGCTCTTCCCAGCTGTTCAACACATCCCAGGATGATGAAGGCCAGCTAGAATACCTTCCCTAGAATGAACTATGTAAAAAAAAATGCCAATTATTCTCTTTCGGATCACCTGAAGTATAGACACCCTAGCTTATTTCACCTGAAGATTAGACACCCTGACCTATGACACAAAATTACATTAAATTGCATCTTTATCTTTTTAATTAGTTATTTAATGGTATTATTTACCTGTCAGGTGTGTCGGAATGAGAATGCTAAAGAAACAACAATATTGATACGGCTGAGTCTGTTGTGTGTTGCAGCTCTCCTCAAGTCACGTGTGTGTGTGTGTGTGTGTGTGTGTGTGTGTGTGTGTAAGGTAACGATCAGTACAGCCGGTGTGTTGCTGTAGTTGTTTCATCTTCTAGTGAGTTAACTGGAGCTTATGGATTTGTGTGGTGTCGTATCCATGGCAACGAGAGAGGTGATGTCGTATCCATGGTAACGAGAGAGGTGATGTCGTATCCATGGTAACGAGACCTCCAAGACCTAAGCTGAGGTCGACTGTAAATAAGATTAGGTTAAAATTTGTTTATTTATCTCCGTCTGTGTTTTTTTGTTTTGTTTTTACTTTATGGTGATTTTTCATATATTTTTATGTTGTTTAGTTATTACCTTTATCAATTTTATTATTATTATTGTTTATTAATTTATCTATCTATCATTTTATCCATTTATCTATCTATTAATATATTCACCAGGATATGTGAAGCTGGTCCCTAGTGACGTCACCTAACACGTCACATTCACCACCGGACACCAACTACGCAATCTCTATACACTTACACTTATACACCCACCTCTATACACTTACACACCCACCTCTATACACTTACACTTACACACCCACCTCTATACACTTATACTTACACACCCACCTCTATACACTTACACTTACACACCCACCTCTATACACTTACACTTACACACCTCACCCTTACCACACCTCTATACACTTACACACCACACCTTACACACCCACCTCTATGCACTTACATACACACTATACACTTACATACACACCCACCTCATACACTGGCACCTCTACACACACACCCACCTCTATGCCTTACACACCACTATACCTTACACACCCACCTCATACACTTAAACACCCACCTCAATACACTTACACTTACACACCCACCTCTATACACTTAAACACCCACCTCAATACACTTACACTTACACACCCACCTCTATACACTTATACACCCACCTCAATACACTTACACTTACACACCCACCTCTATACACTTACACTTACACACCCACCTCTATACACTTACACTTACACACCCACCTCTATACACTTACACTTACACACCCACCTCTATACACTTACACTTACACACCCACCTCAATACACTTACACTTACACACCCACCTCTATACACTTACACTTACACACCCACCTCTACACTTACACTTACACACCCACCTCTATACACTTACACTTACACACCCACCTCTATACACTTACACTTACATTCCACTATACACTTACACACCCAGCTATACACTTACACACCCACCCCATGTGTTGTGTTGTGTATGACTGCCTAACCCACTTGTGTGTATTTGAGGTGGTGACGTCAGCACTCAGGTAGCCTCGGGCATGACAGTGATAAGAGACGTCTGCTATTATGGTCTGGAGTGTGTTGGAAGTATGATGGAGGGTGAACCTTATGGAGGATGATGTCTGTAGTGTTTCCTGAGGTCGACCTTGAGTGAGCTTCGAGGGTAATGGTGGAGAATGTCCTCAGCAGCTGGTAGGTGAGGTACTGAGGAAGTTATGACCACGTGAAGATTCGAACCCCCCACCTCACAACTCTGGCCTCGCCCTCCCACCCTGGCCTCCTACTCCTTCCCTGGCCTCTACCTCCCACTCCCACCATGACCTCGCCCTCCCACACTGGCCCCACTCTCCTACTCCGGCCTCTCCCTCCCACTTCCACCCTGCCCTCACCTTCCACCCTGCCCTCTTCCACACTCCGGCCTCTCCCTCCCACTTCCACCCTGCCCTCACCTTCCACCCTGGCCTCTCCTACTCCGGCCTCTCCCTCCCACTTCCACCCTGCCCTCACCTTCCACCCTGCCCTCACCTTCCACTCTGGCCTCCCCTTCCACTCTGGCCTCCCCTTCCCACTCCGGCCTCTCCCTCCCACTTCCACCCTGCCCTCACCTTCCACCCTGGCCTCCCCTTCCCACTCTGGCCTCTCCCTCCTACACCTCATCTCTATGCTACAAGTATTGCAGTATCTTCCTCACAGCTCTGCAACTCCACGCCTCGACAAAACACTTGACTCTGCAACACTTCAGCCACTTCAGGTACAGTGCTTAACCATCCTGAAATATTGTCTTTGTTGCAATATCTTTTTGAGTAATACAGTGTCTCTTTACCTCCTGTGCAACACTCATGTAAACACTGATCTTGCAGTGTTTCCTTCTTGCAATACTTTGTTTCTTTGGTGTCCTTGAGATTGGAATGAATTTCTCTCTGCAACGTTTCCTATATCTCGCTTCTACCATCGTTTTGTACCCGTTATGCATCAACCTAACCTAACCAAATCCCAACTCTCTACCCTATCAAAGAACTTAAAGAAAACGAGAATAAAATAAATAACACAAATGATATTGAAACCAAAGTAAAAACAAGTCGTAGCACATTAAGTTATATATATATAAAACACTAAAACACATCCTCGCGACCTTGGTGTGTTGTGTTGTGTGTGAGATACGTGAGATACTGTACATAGCACATAAATAAATCATTATCTCTTCTAAGTGCTTCCCTTGTCACCACAGGTCAACCCCCGTCTCCCCGACATCCTCAAATATCCTCGGTCACGTTCTCCTATTTACGTGTTGCATAGAAGTGTATTTGATGTTTCAGTTTTGATGTGTTGTTTATCTAGATTTTTATTATCCAGATGATGTGATTTTTTTGAAAAGATATTATAAATTATGTTAAAGTACAGTAATAATACTATACGTCTCTTCATTGGTCCGTCTCTGTCGAAAATACATAATGTAGTACGTAAATTAAACAGAGAACTGGTCGGTTAGTAAGATGAAACCTAACGAAAGGAATATGTAAAATTAAGTATAAAAATCTTAATTTGGTTTAAACGTTTGTATTTTTGTCTTTCTGTTTACACACATAACACTTCAGGGGAGAATCTATGTAACAAAAATAATAAGACAATAAGATGTAAATAAATATAACGATCTTGATACATTTGTGACATGAATTGAATAATGAGATATGAACCGAATCATTTACAACTAACTGTGCTAAAACTTTCACTGAACTTCGTCCCGGAAATTCTAGTAACACAGTTTTTTTGGGGGGGGGTTATGAAGCAACTTTGTGACCATCATCTGAAGTATGTCTTGGTCAGGTGTGGTAATAGGGATCAGGTGGTGTATATCTTTGGCACCAATCGGAACAATGATATATTTATTTGCATTCCGGAACAATAGCCCAAAGTCGCTCTCGTTTCAGTTTTCATAGAAGAAGAGACTGGGAAAGAGGCTGAAAAATTAATCTTGTCAAACTAAGAATATTAAATGCCAGAATTAGAGGTGTTTCTTACTTTACTGTCCCTTCCACACACACACACACACACACACACACACGAAGACATGATATTTGGCATGATAGATGAAGAGTTTGGCATTACACTACACTACATTATCCTGTTACAGCGAAATTCTCTTAATTTATTTTATAATTTTATTAAAAAACTTAATTATATATCGGGGTCTCTCTCTCTCTCTCATGTTCAAGTCAGCTCAGAAGAACACACGGTCTTCCTCAATACACGACCTAAACCTCTTCCACTGTTTAGTTCACTGTTCCATCACAAGAGTAGACAGTTTCCACTATTCCATCACAGGTAACAGAAGATAATGAGTCTATTTGACTATTTTTTTTTTTGCACCGGCACGTAGCAGTATATAGTGACAGCAAAGATTAGTCACTTAAGGAGCTATTAATCACAGGTGAGCTACAGGTAAATTACAGGCGAGCCACAGATGAGCTATAGGTGAGTCACAGGTGAGCCACAGATGAGCTATAGGTGAGTCACAGGTGAGCCACAGATGAGCTATAGGTGATCCATAGGTGAGCTACAGGTAAGCTACAGGTGAGTCACAGGTACCCACAAGTGACCCACAGGTGAGCCACGGGTGAGTTACAGGTGAGCCACAGGTGAGTTACAGGTGAGTCACAGGTGAGCTACAGGTGACTTTGTTCAATTTCAGGATCATAGTCTTCCGCTTCCCACTCTTCAACCACTCCCACTGTCTTCCTCTTCTCAGAGTTCCGGGACGAAGTAGAGGAGTCCGTGCCGCAGATGTTCTCAGAAGCGTATCCTGAGGTAGCGGTGAGGGAGTGGACGGAGGAGGTGGAGGTGGTCAGGCTAGTGGAGGCTCGTTCTGCCTCCAGTCTCTTGTAAGGAGTGTGGAAGAAGACTATAGTAAGAGTCACCGCGAAGGTTAGTAGACCCATGATTGCCATTAATGATACTGTGCAGGAAAGAGAGAGAGATTAATACATCCATACATAGTTCAGTATAATCAACATAGTAGTTTAACATGTACTGTACCTACACCGTACAGGTATACAAACAATATACGTAGACAGTACAGGTATACAATGGCAAACAGTAGATGGGGAGATGACTGGATAGCGAACATTTCCATCATTTATTTATTTCCATTATATTGTGTCAATTATTAAAATAGTCTCTCATATTGAACACACACACACACACACACACACATAGCTCACCTGTGTAGTCCTGAGGCTCGGATTCCATACTATCGGAGCTGATTCCCTTCGTACATACTTCAAGGTCAGAGTACTCAGGTTTCTCCTCTCTGGCCAGGAAAGTTACCATTGCTATGATGATCATTCCTTGAGCCTGACCTGTAGGGGGAAGGAGGGTTAGGTGCTGGTCCAGTGTGTGTGTGGCAACAGCTGTTTAGCAGGGAGACAGACAGACAGACAGACAGAGAGACAGACAGACAGACGTGACCTCACCAGACATGAAGATGAAGGCGGTGCTAATGCTCTCCTCCACCGGGTACGTCGTCTCCACCGCCAGCTCTAGGCCTATCGGGTACGCCCCCACCCCGAAGAATCCAAAGAGACCCATGAAGAGAGCCACAAGGGCGTGCTGATGTGGTACCATGAACATCTGACGGAGGAAAGAGTTGTTTACGAGATTTTACGAGATTTGACGAGATTTTACAAAACTTGACGAGATTTTACGAGACTTGACGAGATTTTACGAAACTTGACGAGATTTTACGAGACTTGACGAGACTTAACGAAACTTGACTACACTTGACGAGACTTAACGAGACTTTTTAGAAACGGAAGCTATACTATACATATCACAACTGTATATATTTCACAAAACTGACTAGAAATACATCATAAAAAACGACACTAGTAAACAAAAACACTAGTAAACAAAAACACAAGTAAAACAAAAACACAAGTAAAACAAAAACACTAGTAAACAAGAACATTAGTAAACAAAAACACTAGTAAAACAAAAACACTAGTAAACAAGAATAGTAAACAAAAACACTAGTACACAAAAACACTAGAAAACAAAAACACTGAATTGGTTATAAAATTTTGAGGGTATTATGTGAGTTAGTTACTTAGTGGTGCAAAAGACTGTGATTACATATTTAAATTTCACATGCAACTACGTACAGTACTTGAAGTTAAAATAGTTTCCAGTACATACTTTTTATTCATGACTACAGGTATATCAATACAATCATTAAGTTTATTTTACCTTGAAAGTCCATAATTTACAGTACAGTTGAAAAAAGTAAGTTTATTATTCGATTAAAAAGCATAAACAAGTCGAACCAAAGCATTTGTTGTGAGAGTCGACCCGTGTATCTCTGAGCTTGTAAACACCATGATTTATTACCACCATAAACACTCCGAAATAATGTGTCCTTTATAGAGATAATGTTAGCACAGTAACCTGATGCACTACAGCTACCGTGTACAGTATCCTTCTCTGCGTGCTTCCTTTATAGTATACATCCGCAGTTTTTAGAAAGATCGATGCGATATTCTTTTGTTTTTAGAAAGATCGATGCGATATTCTTTTGTTTTTAGAAAGATCGATGCGCTATTCTTTTGTTTTTAGTGTTGATAAGTAGTGTTTGATCGTTTATAGCGTCAATATGTAGTGTTTGATCGTTTATAGCGTTAATACGAAGTGTGTGTGTGTGATCTCGTCTAAGACACACGCTTAAAAGTTCTTAACTCTTGATACGTAGTAATGCATTATAACAATATTCCCGCTAATTATTATATCAGAAATAAGTATCTTGTTTAATATTTAGTTATGTTGTGATTAGAATACGTTGTGTGTGTGTGTGTGTGTGTGTGTGTGCGCGCGTAACCTAACCTAACCTATCCTAGAGTTAAAAAAGAAAAAATTAACTTTGCTCTCACCTCCATCAAGATAATAGCAAGGACGGTAGCCAGGCCATAGGTGACCTTGGTGATGGGAGTGAAGGCTTTCGTCCGGTCAGCCATTATGCCTGTCACGGCCGACCCCACAAATCCACAGAAGATCATTGCTCCGTTTATTAATCCACTGAATGTCTGTTGAGGGTCAAGGGAAGAGTGAGGTGTGGGCCAGGTGAGGGGTGAGGGAAGGTGAGGTGAGGTTATGACAGGTGAGGAGGGAGGGGGTAAGGGAGGGTGTTAGGTGAAGGGAAGAGTGAGGTGTGGGCCAGGTGAGGTTATGTCAGGTGAGGAGAGGAGGGGTGTTAAAAAGGTAAATGAAGTAATTAAGGTGAAAGAAATTTATATCATTATAGTATAAAGTTTATTAATAGTACCTGATGAAAATTGACTTAGTGTAATTAAATAAAAATCAATACAAAAGCAACATTAAACGAACAATTATTTCATCTAGACAAATGGTTAACATATATTTGATTCTTACATAAATTAAAAACTATGAGTATTGTATTTTCTATTTTCCCTCATATACAAAGTTCTCTCAGGTATAAACATTGGCCTCTACATGACTATGATGATTAAGTAAACAATGGGAGGTGGTGGGAGGTGAGGGGATTGTTTACATAGAGCCATTAGAGGGAAGGGTAGAAGTATTGGGGGCAGTTCTTTCCTGACGGCCAGACACTCAAGAACATGTTCCTGTCAGTCACGAAGCATGACAAAAATTAACCCAACTCGTGAGATCTTGTTCCACTGAGAGAATTGAGTCTGTTCTGTAATCTGATGTTCGTGAGTTAATGGTGAGACAAGAGAGTTCGGTACTAACGTCAGAATATCCCAGAGGACAGAGGAGTTGTTGGGTGACGGTGGCCAGGGAGGAGAAGAGACCCACACCACAGCCGAGGGACAACAGCAGTAGGAGGTAAGGCACGTTGGTGAATGTCTGTTTCAGCTGCGTGAGGTAGGGTGCCCTCTCTTTCTCCCCTCGCTCGGCACTCTGGCTTGGGGGCGTCGGTGGTTTAGACCTATAAGAGGAAGAGTTGCCAGTCTTATTGCATCCCAAGTTCATCTCCTCCTCCTCCATCAGATAGTGTAATTAATACGAGTATACGAAGTGGTTAACGTTATGACATCGGAATGGTTAAAGTTAGGTTAAAGTGTGTGTGTGTTCCATAGACCTTTGGTACACAAGGAGGCAGCGTGGCCGTCACTCTATTACCTTCACTTCCCCAAAGTTAGGTTAGGTTAGGTTAGGTTAGGTTAGGTTAGGTATCCTCCAAATTGTTAAAATACATTCACTTCACCTCTTCACAACAGCTTTATTACAGCACACACCTAACCCCCCTCCTAGAGACTCACCTGGTGATACAAGCGAGGGTAACCACCTGAGAGACGATGGCAACGCCGCAGAAGACGTAGTTAAGTGTGGGTAGTTGATCCTTGTTCTTCACCAGCAGTGGCGAGGAGACCTGTGCCACCAGGATCCCCAGAGGGTTGGCTGTAGGTGAGGGAGAGAGTGAGAGGTCGGGTGTGGGAGAGAGGGAGAGGTCGGGTGTGGGAGAGAGTGAGAGGTCGGGTGTGGGAGAGTGAAGGTCAGGTGTGGGAGGGAGGAGAGGTCGATGACAGAGGGAAAGGAAAGGAGGAACGGTAATTGCAGGTGAGGACTTGGGAGGAGGGTTTGAGGGAGAGAGGAAGGTTAGATTATGTTAGGTTAGGTTAGGTTAGAGTAGCATCAGGATGGTTAACAAAGTGAAATACGTTGGGGTGTCTAATCTTCATGTGATACAATTCCACCTATTACACATATCATCGTAAACAAACATTCCTAACAGTCTCTATAGTCACCAGGTTAATGAGTTTTAATGTTTAATTGTTTCTTACCTGTTGATAAGGTGTTTATTCAGGTGACAAAGGTGAAAACTAAGAACCATAACAACTTAGTAATATGAACAAGGGGGGATCTGGTCACTGGTTTAGAAGGACGAAGATAATACCTGTGTTGTTTTTAATTACCTGACGTCGACAGTAGAGAGAGAGAGAGGGTACACACACACACACAGTAGGAGAGAGAGAGAGAGAGAGAGAGAGGCACACACATACACAGGGAGAGAGAGAGAGAGAGAGAGAGAGAGAGAGAGGTACACACATACAGAGAGGTACACATACACAGGGAGAGAGAGGTACACACACATACACGGGAGAGAGAGAGAGAGAGAGAGAGGTACACACACATACACAGGGGGAGAGAGAGAGAGGAGTACTCACACATGGACAGGACGGTAGTGGAGATGGCTCGGGCGTGCTCCGGGAACCACAACTGGGACACCTTGGTTGGTATGAAGAGGAGGAAGGGCTGAGCCATCCCGGCGATCGTCTGTGAGGGGGGAACACTGAGTCATCATTCAGGGGGAGATTAGAGCCCTTAAAAGCCCTTAGTATGAGCCCTTAGAACCCCTGTGTGAGCCCCCAGAGCCTGCGATGTAAACCCCCAAAGCACTTGCATAGAGTTCTGAATGACCTTTAAAAATCCCTTGATTTAAGTCGCTAAAACACCTTTATATAGTTCCACCCAGTACCCTTAGACCCTCCCAGTACCCTTAGACCCTCCCAGTACCCTTAGACCCACCCAGTACCCTTAGACCCTCCCAGCACCCATAGACCCTCCCAGTACCCTTAGACCCTCCCAGTACCCTTAGACCCACCCAGTACCCTTAGACCCACCCAGTACCCTCCCAGTAGACCCCAGTACCTACCTGACCAGTTAGGCTGACAGCAAACTGGGTGTTGAGGGACGTGATGAGGCCACTGGTGGACACGGCCCTTAACACAGCCCCCAGGCAGTTAAGGGCCGACCCTATGTGGATCTGGTGAAGGTAACAGTTAATTAAATATTTGTTTACCTTAGTCATGTTGCATCCTATCATGTTATAACTGGCATATTATTATTATTATTATTATTATTATTATTATCATTATCATCATTATTATTATTGTTATTATCATCATTATCATTATTTCCTTAATACTAAGCCAAACTTTATCTACCTCCACTATAAAACCTTCCATTGTGTACCTGTCTATCTATCTTCCTCTCAATACTTACTCACCGCAGGTCTGAGCCCCAGGTGATTGACGCTGAAGGTGGAGATAAAACAGAAGGGGATAGAGACGAAGAGGAACACCAGACTGAACCAATTAATCTCTTCCACTGGCTGCTGGAAGTAAGCTGCCGCCTTGAAGGTCACCGGCGCAGTGTTTATCCACAGCTGGTAGGGAGAGGTCAGTGGATATTATCAGCTGGATAGAGTACCAACAGGTGATCATTATATAACCATCTGTCCTATATAAACCACCACCTGTCCTTTTAAACCCTTTGAGGACTATAGTTTAAACCTGTATTGTTTATACCGTCGTTTTTAAAGAGTTATTTATGGTTTAAACTAACAGTATGTCCTCAAAGGGTTTAATGATTATTTACCGAAGCGTTTGATATGTTGAGTAAGGTAACGGTGATGAGAATGGCCCAGCGCTGTTTATAGGTGATGTAGTCCTTGGTGGCAGATGGAGCTTTTCCTTCATCTTCCACGTCTCCCGTCTCACCTCCCTTGCTTCCCAACGCCTCTACCGCACTCTCCACACCAGCCACCACCCTCTCCACCCTCTCATCAGGCGTCTCCACCATCCTCTCTACCGTCACCTGGAATAGATTAATAGACGATATTAGATGATAATTATCCACAGGTAAACAGTATATATCTCTAAAAGTAATATATGTTGATGTTTGTTAATTACTTACCTGTCGATATACTGAAGATTGGGTTAGGTTAGGTTAGGTTAGGTTAGGTTAGGCTAGGCTAGGCTAGGTTAGGTTAGGTTAGGTTAGGTTAGGTTAGGTTAGGGTAATTAATTGAAGTGGAATAATACATAAGGTTAATCTGCATGTCTTCCCATGAGATCTGCTCTTAGTTCGACAACAAGCAATATTACTTGTCATATATACTACTCAGTCGTAAAATAACTCTAAAACATAACACCGTCTACTCTTACGGTAATCTTGATAAGCAATGTATAATCTGAATAACATTTAGCATTCTGAGCCGGTTATAGATAAGCTGTACCTCCAGACGACAGGACTCAGCTGTACTCTTCCCCAGAACTGCAGAGTACAGAGAACCGGGACGTATTTTTTTTCCTAGTATGTAGAAGAAACTGTTTATAATCTTCCCAGGATGGATATAATATACTTTGAATTTTTAATATGGTAGTATGGTCTTTTTGTCCCAGTATGAACGTGAAAATTAATAGTGTTTTCTGTATGTATGTAAATAGCGTCTAACACAAACATCAAGTTAAGACAAAAAAAAATTACTTATTTTTAGCTGGATTACGATAGCTTTTGTTAATTTTGTCAAAGTAAACAATGAAAATCTTGTGTTTTTTCTTAAACAGGTAAATAAATGCTTAAGAATACCTGTGTAGCGTAATTAGCAATAACTCAGGTAAGATCTGGATAACGAACAATTAAATGACTTCAGATGCATTCCATCATTTATACTCGAGCGTTTCCTTACAGCATCCTGGATATATAATTAATGGCCAGGGAGAAGGGGGAGAAACATAAGTAGTACTCCCCTTCACGACACTCCCAGACGAGGCAACACTGCAAGAGAGGGAAGACTTAATGACTTCTCTTGATTAGGTTAGGTTAGTGCCTCGATGTTTAATTATCAGGTGAAATAAGAGAGAGAGACAGAGGCTTCATTGTGTACACTGAAGCCTCCCTCTTGTTTTATCACTGGTTTATCTGCAACAATAACCGACACCCACACCTCGAGTACACCTCCTCCAGGGTATACAGTACACCTCCTCCAGGGTATACAGTACACCTCCTCCAGGGTATACACTACACCTCCTCCAGGGTATACACTACACCTCCTCCAGGGTATACAGTACACCTCCTCCAGGGTATACACTACACCTCCTCCAGGGTATACAGTACACCTCCTCCAGGGTCAGGGTATACAGTACACCTCCTCCAGGGTATCACTACACCTCCTCCAGGGTATACAGTACACCTCCTCCAGGGTATACACTACACCTCCTCCAGGGTATACAGTACACCTCCTCCAGGGTATACACTACACCTCCTCCAGGGTATACAGTACACCTCCTCCAGGGTATACAGTACACCTCCTCCAGGGTATACAGTACACCTCCTCCAGGGTATACAGTACACCTCCTCCAGGGTATACACTACAGCTCCTCCAGGGTATACAGTACACCTCCTCCAGGGTATACAGTAATACAGTACAGGGTCGGTGTTATGTACAGAGGTGTCGCGTACTTCAATATTGTTCATAATGGTTAGGTTAGGTTAGTTTCGTGTATTTCGAAAATCATACAAAATCATACAATTAAAAGCATGTATGATGACTTTACAGACAGACAGTGAACTGGGGCCAAGGATGTGATGTTGTGACCGTACAATATATATTCACTATGTGCGTGACAGTTCCTTGTATGACGCAGCCCCATCGACCATAAGCCACTCTGGGCACCTGCTGGGTCACCACACCACAACACCACACCACACCACACCACACCACCCCACACCACACCACACCACCCCACACCACACCAACACACCACCACACCCCACCACCCCCACCACACCACACCACCACCACACCACACCACCACCCCCACACCACCACCCACACCACAACACCACACCACACCACACCACACCACCCCACACCACACCACACCACCCCACACCACACCACACCACCAATGGTTCGTATGACAAACAAAATCTTCTCTTGGTGTTTAACATAGATCGAGACGAGACTTTGAAAACACCTATAATCTCTATTGCTAAACACCTGCTAAACACCTGCTAAACACCTGTCATGTCGGAAGAAATTACCTGAAATTGACGAAAACCTCCAGTAATTAAAAATGCTAATAATAGCTAAAAATTCTTAAAAAAAATACTTAATTTCAAACATATATCGAAAAAATACGAGACTTGGGAAGTTATGTGCGAGAGGGGTTAACAGTACACTCTCACGGTTACACAACACGTTCATAAGGGGTTATTATCAACCTGTCACAATGCTGCTACGTTACCTTATCATAGTCTAGACCATCACTCTCCTCCTCTCGCCTTAAGATATAAAAATAATAACTAATAAAATAAAGAGTTAGAGTTATCATATTTCAAGGTTGAGTTACATCACTGGTCCCTCATAGTACTCGTCACTAAGGGATCGTAAGTTATAGGAAGGATTATATTATTAATTATGCTCTTATTGTCTTATATAAAGTCTTATGTCTTTGGGTTAGATTACGTTTTGGGTTATTATATTTATTGTACTTATGATCGTTTTTCCTATGTATGGAGACTTTTCACTCACCCTGTATAGGATATTAATTTTTTTATATGATTAAATATAGATTATTTTAGTGTGAATGCTGTCAAAAAAAGATTCATTTCAATTATACTTCCTACATAAACAACTTTCAACAATATTTAATTATTGTAATATTTCTTCTTATTTCATTAAGATATTTCACTCCTCCTCTTAATCTTAAACACAAAAAAACATGAAAAACAAAAGAGCATCAAGATTACACAACTCCCTTAGTGAGATATAATCACTTAGCAACAATTAGGAGAAAAAAAATCAATACTGAGAATTTTGACTTAACTGAACGTATCTCAGTTAAGGTAGAGTCTTGTGAGAATAATAATATACCTTGTGAGTCCTAAACACTTAGCTAGGATGATAGATATAAGAGCTTAATTCACCTGAGCTTACGTGTTGTCGAGGTATGATGAAGATTTAAAACCAAAGAGTGTTACTATGCACTGATGTGTCATAACTTAGATCTCCAATCACGTATTTTAAGTTAGTACATAAACTACTCATCAACAATAATGAATTAAGAAATATAAAGAAGATTTATGACATGTGAAGCGAAGGCGTGACAGGTGCCAAGACGAAACACACCAACACCTTAATTACATAACCTGTCATTGTTTACTTCCAGCTTATGTACACGAGGATGTTATTGGCGCCTCGTAGAAAAACACATTATTGATATATACAACATAAGAGTCCATCGGGGCCTCTTCCTCCTGATCCTCCTCCTGATCCTCCTCCTCCTGATCCTCCTCCTGATCCTCCTCCTGATCCTCCTCCTGATCCTCCTCCTCCTGATCCTCCTCCTGATCCTCTTGTTGTTGTTGGGGCGTTTATGGAATCACCTGAACATTAGTCCCCTCCATCTTATTTCATCTGATAATTAACCACCCTAACGCTACCTGGGGGTTAGGTTAGGTTAGGTTAGGTTAGGTTAGCGTTAGGTTAGGTTAGTTTAGGTTAGGTTGGGTTAGGTTAGGTTAGGTTAGCATTTAAGGTGATATAAGTTAGGGTGTCTAATGTTCAAGTAATTCAGTATATTTAGACGGCTAATATATAACAGGTAATAAAGAACAACTGACGAACACCCGCGAGATACTGATATCTCTCTCTCTCTCTCTCTCTCTCTCTCTCTCTCTCTCTCTCCAAGCTGATAACACACACCCACCTCCTTCCGTAACCGATAAGATTATACTCTCGCTCCTTTCCCCTTTCTGCTCCCTCCTCCTGTACCCTTCACCCCCTCCCCCCTCCCTCGCCTATCACCCTGAACGCGGACACACTCGTCAAGCCTCACCACGGCCTCACAGTGTGGTGGACGAGGGTGAAGAGTGTGAGGCTGTTGGAGACGCCCACACTGTGTTATTAGAGGGTGGGCGGGGGAGAGGGAGGGGTGATGGAATGTGTCGTAGGCATTCACCTTAACCCCTCCTCTCACTTCCCATCCCCTCACTTCCCTTCCCCTCACTTCATTCTGTCTCCCCCTCAGTTTGTCTTCCTTCATCTCCTCCTCTTCCTCCTCCCCCCCCTTGAGTCACCCCTCCTCCTCCCCCCCTCCCTTGAGTCACCCCTCCTCTTCCCCTCCTTCTCTCCTCTTCCCTGAGTCAACCCTTCATTCCACCTCTTCCCTCCATTTTCTTGTTCTCTCCTCTTTAACACTTCTTTCTTCCTTCCACACACACACACACACACACACACACACACACACACACACACACACACAGCTTCATTTTCTTGAGATTAATTAATGAGATTACCTGAAGACTCTCCACCCCAGCTTAGTTCACCAGGTAATATAAATCACTAAAAAATAGCAGGTAAGTATTCTAATGTTTACTTAATACCGTAAAACATATTTGTAAATCAATGTGAACATCTTAGAAATTATTAATGTGAATAACTTGAAGCGTCAATGAGTTACCTATGATTTATTAAGCTTAACTCTTTGTCTGTAGATGATTTTTAGGTAAAATTACAGGTATTGCAAGAGATCCTGGTGGACAGGTGTGGTGAAGGACAGGTGTGGTGGAGGACAGGTGCGGTGAAGGACAGGTGTGGTGGAGGAGCTCACAACCAGAAGAGGAACACTGAGACTCGCGTGACTGAGGTAGTGTGACTCCAGACGCTAACGCTCCCATGATGTAGCTACTGAACTTGAGTCGTCCACACGCCTATACGTACAGTAGCTAAAACAACTATCTGTGCATACTTTGTGGGAAACATTATGAGACCATAGACGATAAATATTGGTATATGAGGGCTGTCACTAGTCACACGTAAAATTTCGGAGCATATCGACCCCCCACCTGCACAGATAGTTGTCTTAGCTACTACACGCCTGCACACAGTAAGCTCAGGTCGATGAGTGGATAAACCAGGCGGATTATACGACATACACATATGCGTGCGTCAGACGGCTCAATATCTCCTTGAAATAGTCGTGAAAACTTGGAAAGAAAGTCAAACACACGACTACAGCTAAGGTACGAATTTCACGTGTGTTTGTGTGTGTTGGTGAGGTAGTGTATAGAAGTTATTATCGGGTTCTGTCAGTAAACATATCTAGACACACATACACACACTCTAACCTTTCTTATGATCGCTATAGTTTAAGAACGGTGTTAGTTAATGTGCGTCGCTACACTTGGGGTATCATTCCTTCCTCCCACACAGTATATAAAGATGAGTGAGGTAGCTGAATAGTCATGGTAATCCTGAGGCTGATAAAGCAATCACCTCAACACTAAATGAAGAGAAATAAGTTAATCCAGGGGTATTTTTTAAGGCCATTCAATACTTAATCTGTCTTAATCTGTTCTAATGGTCGGGTCTCTAAGGCCATTTGATCATTCTAAACCAGTTTCTAATTTAAATACACACACACACACACACACACACACACATAAAGAGAGACAAACAGACAGACACAGACCAGACACAGACATACAGACAGGCAGGGAGACAGCCAGACAAAAGCGAGTGCATTAGCAGACACGAGTCACATAATGTGTAGTAGTCAAGGAAGAAGTTGAGGTCAATCACAGGCTGGTAACATAGCATGATCACACGCACACACACGCACACACACACACACACACACACACACACACACACACACACACACACACACACTAGGACAATGTATTTCTATTCCAACCAAAACAAAGAGAGGAAACAAAACAGACAGACAGACAGACAGACAGACAGTAATCAGACAAACAGACAGACAGACAGACAGACAGACAGATGCATGGTGTTCCAATTCACTTTTTATATATCGTGTGAAAATAAATGTTCTTTGTTAATTACTGTGTGAGAAGAAATTACGATTACTTGTGACTTACCTAATGGTGTAATGTACAGGGTGTTTCAGACGTTTTTACCCGACTGTACAGGGTGTTCCAGAAGCTCTTACTCCACTGTATTCATTTACAATTTGCAAGTTGACCATTAACATCAACACCCGTTCTTAATCATTCTCAATGCGGATTACCAACGTCTATGTGGTTTAGTAATATCATCTCCAGGAACCATAAGACTTCCTGGAAAATATCTGGAATGTTTTACTTTTTTCAAGATTTTTTAAACATCCAAAGAATCTGAAACCCGCTGAGTTCCTTGAGAAAACAGCCATAAGAGTCGAGTGCCGTCATGTAGCAATTGAAACCACTTGTCAAATATCACGCATTGTAGATCCTGTTTACCACGTCACCACACGCCTAACCCGCATGACCTTTGCATGACCCTTGGGTGCATGAAATTATTAGATGGGATTTTTATCATTTTCTATAACAGTCGAGTATTCGTTTGTATGTTTCTGTTCCAGGTCGTCTTATCACAGATACAGATAACAGAGATTAATTAGTTAGCCGCCAGAGGACAGTATCACCGTAACTGTAACTCTATAAAGACTTCATACAGGATATGACCTTAAAACATATTATTTAAAGTCACAGGAAACAGTGAGTGATAAGAACCTGCTTACGCTATACTTTTATCGAGTGAAGGTGACACAGTTATATGTGAGGTGATGAATCATGTGCAGCTGGTCATGAGAAGTTTTCACCACACAACACATGATGAACCTCGAACCAACATACCACAGTCACACGTCACACTGCCTTGAGAGGGCCAGGAACCTATAGTATTTACTTGAAAGATACGACCATAAAAAAAATTTAGCGAGAGAACTTAACACACATAACCTAACCTCACGTAAGTTTACATAATATTAACTTATTTCATATATTTAAAAACAGAGTATATATACCGTAGCCTAAACCAGGTCAGGTCAGGTCAGGTCAGAGGGTATTGACATAACACACATGATTTGGCCATTTATCACACACGTTGGTTAGATTAGATTGATCGTAAGTCACATGACCACCCTAGACCCAGAAAGAACAATAACAATTAAGACACAGAAATATGTAGACATTGTATAACGTGACATGATAATGGTTATAATGTACAGTCAATACTCAGAATCAATGTACAATATCACACACACACACACACACACACCTACCTATTGCATCGTGTTATACTCTTATTGACCACCAGTGAATTGGGCTATATTTTATTGTGATACACTGGGCTATATTGCATTGAATTTCACTACATTATGTTGTATTGTGACAAACTGCACAATTGTTTACTTGTAATGTACTAGACTGAGTTAGTTTGTATTTGTTTAGATCTACACTAAGTTATACATTTCTTCTACTGTATTACACATCATTCAATAGTTGTATTATATTGTATCACATTGCACTGTTGAGTTGTGTTGCATGGCACGAGGTCGCCACTTGCTTCTCCAGCTCATTCATTAACCTAACCTAACCTAACCTAACCAGCTCTCTCTCTCTCTCTCTCTTGTTATTTATCGACCGAAAATTCAATGGAAGAAAATTGCAAGTAGTGAATTTGTTTTACATTGGGCGTACTGAAAGTGTGTGTGTGTGTGTGTGTGTGTGTGTGTGTGTGTGTGTGTGTGTGTGTGTGTGTGTGTGTGAAGTATACTACAGTGGAAGGATACAGTGTAGTTAACATAACTCACAGTATACCTTACTCGTAATGACCTTTCGTGACCTGACCCACCCCAGACACGCCTTCATTTCCGCATTAGCACACACACACACACACACACACACACACACACACACACACACACTAAACATACACAGAAAACAGTAATAAACCTATACATGCAAGCACACACACGCATGAAAACAAGTAAAAAGATCTACATACCTACATACATACATACATACATACATACATACATACATACATACATACATATATATTACGCGAATAACAATAATATTTTTCTTAGAATATATTTACACATCCAGTATATTATCAAGTTTATAAAGTTTTAATTCATTTCTGGTCGACATTGACGTTTCCTGTGTGGCTTTGTAGGGGTTACTACTCTTTGTCATCATAAGGGGGGGATTACCTCACCCAGGCCTGCCTCCACCCCTGTGTGTGTGTGTGTGTGTGTGTGTTGTCATCATTTTAACCTAACCTAACCTAACCTTTGAATTGTAAAAGATAAAAATATGATTGTCTTTGTTATGTATCTAGTTAAAGAGTTAAAGCCTTAAAATACTAATGTTCTTCTCAAACGTGAACTGAGTTATCGTGTGCAGTTAAGGTTAGGTTAGGTTAGGTTCTGATGTTATATTTAGAGGTTCATTTTTCCTACACCTCCATAACCATAGTTGGAATCTGTTAGGTTTTGGACCCTAAATAAATCATCTTACTTGAGCATTTACACAGGAGGAAAATTATGGTAAGCATCCTCTCTTCTACACGTTATTATACACACTTGATAGTCCAGTGTATTGTATATGTTGTATGTGAATGGTGTGTAAGTTAGCCAGACAACAAGATAACCTGAAACAAACATTATATTTCACTTAAAATTAATTCACATCACAGCTGACGTCTTAACTTACGTGTTCCTGATATTATGGTTCCCCTTCGACACTGCCGCAGCTTCTGTTATTGTGGAAACTTGGTGTTAGTCTCTACTATATGAGGGCTGGTGTCCTGGTTTTCCGTATCACACACCCGCCGCACCTCAGTTCAATCCGGTACACCCTGACCTGAGCCATGTACAGTACACACACACACACAGACACGCACTCCGCTCTGCCCGGGGGTCATACCAACACTGACACATTTCAACTGACGCATGGTACACCTTATCTTATGAGTCGATAACGCTAGGAAACACTAGGTTACAATGTACATTATTATCTTTGGTGAGTTTTTGACCAATGGATAGGGCTTGGCTGACTATTTGGGTCCATCATGCTTGTACAATACTTTGAAGTTATTCCTGTGCTTCTGGGCGGTGGGTCCTCATCACAGAACACCTGATGCCAGTGTTAAATAACCAGTTTTATAAACGATAAACCGTGGGTATGATATGAATACATCATTCATAATATGCGGTCATTGACGGATCTAATGAAGATGGATGCCAGAGATAGGTGAGACTCATGTGGTAGTGTTAGGCTTTAATAACAGCTAGGGCTTATGTGCTCAGTACTTGCCAGAGATGTAAGTGGCGGTGTGTGTGTGTGTGTGTGTGTCCCTGTCAAGAGATGAAAGTGGCGGTGTGTGTGTGTGTGTGCGTGTGTGTCCCTGTCAAGTCATAAGCGTGATAGATCGATAATTATTATCAGTCGACACACGGGATACCACATTTCAAGATGAACTGCATTATGAGAGAACAATCTTATCTTAATAAAATTGCTTGCTATGATATTGACGATGATATTTCTTTTATGAAATTTAATTAAATTTATAGTTTTACCACTAATCAGCTTATTCGTCGTACTTTTCTTCATTACAGTATATTGTTGCATCCTTCATTATAATTTGTTGATTTATTGATACATGCAATGAAAAGGCAATATACAGTATGATTTTGTCTCCATCACCTGAGAATTATAACAAGTGATACTCCTGCACGTATTTACATTGAATACAATTACCTATTTCTTAATTTACATTGCCATATCTATTATAATATTGTAAAATAAAGTATTAATCAAGAGTAAATATTATTAACTGCTACAAGGCTCTCGGTGTACAGGCAATGCACCATCATGTATATTCATTGTTAATTTAATCAGTACCTTTTACCTCTCACAAGTTATTAGAAAAATTTGTAATGTTTATTAATGTTAGATACTAATCTATGAAGAATATATTCAATTATTTTACATTTTTTTCATAATAACAGGAAAAAACATTATACACTGCGCTCCCTTCACCTCTCTTGCCGCAGTATCAAATGAAAAACTGATAAAACAAATAATTAATTTTATCTCAATGAAATTAATATATATATAAAGAATCAATATTAATAATAATTATATATCTACTTAAACATAATTATATCTTTTATATTTAGTCTTTTGGTGTTGCATTTAGAATAGTTTAGGATATCATTTGACACCCGGCCAACGTGGTGTTGCTCTTTCCTGAGTCTTGGGCAGAAAATCCACCATAATGTCGGCCAGATTCTTAGCCCCAGTGATCCAAGACAACCCAAATGGCTGGGGACCTTGTGATATACCGGAACAGTTTAAGGATATGCCCTACCAACCTTTCTCTAAGGGTGACAGACTAGGAAAGGTCAGTAGCTTCTAGTATCACCTATTTTAGATCACCATTTACTAAGAGGCTGTTGGTGACCAGCAACTTGAATTCACTTTTTGTTTAATATAAATACATTAATACTGTTCCTCTATTCTCTATTAATTATCATTGTTTTCACAGGTTTCTGATTGGACAGGTGCTACATACCAGGATCGTCGATATGCCAGTAAGTATATACAGTAGATTCATTAACTATAAAGAATGGAAATTGGTTAGGTTAGGAAAATAAAAGATAAATTAAGAGGAGACTGATATATTTTTTTTCTTATTCATATTAGAGAGCTTGAACATATAATAATTTCGTTTTTATCTTGATTTGTTGTATCTGGTATGGACAGACTTTTGGAATTAAATATGTTGAAAAGGTTGTGATTTAAAATATAGCAACTAGTAATTTACATTGTGTGACTGGACCATTCATTAGTCTCTGACCATAACCCAAGATTTCAAGATCATTCCCTCATTTTTGAAAGAATGGATTAAGAATTAAACAATTTTAAAATCCCTTTTTCATGTGATGCAAGATGGCTGGTCAGGTACTGGATTTGGTGAAGTGAAAGTTGATAAAGGGTTCTTTATATCATGAATTGTTTTCATCTTATTATTACAGTCAAGTATCAGTCAACATTTGGAAGCATGCAACAGTATGCATACTACCATGAAGAGGATGAGTCCACCTTCCAGCACGTGTACAAGACAAACGTGCCAAAGCCGCTGTACCAGCGTGGCCGTTACATGCGCAACCAACGTAACCTGAAAAATCAGCGCAACCAGAAGGGCCAGCAAATGCAAGTCCTTGGCAAGGGCAATAAGAGAGAGTAAGTTAATCAACAGAACTTATGTTTGTGAAATATGTAATAAAGCTACAGTAGTGAATTTGTAATAAACCATAAAGTATTGGTTAATGTGATGAAAGCATTTTGGAATACAGCACTGTACAGTATTGTAGTAAGTGGAGCACAAATCCTGGTGTGCATACACTCATGTGTTCAGTCAGCTGTTTTAGGTGATAAAACTTTAGGAGAGAAAATCTAGCTTATTAACACACCTGTGACATGGAGTTGTGGTGAAAATACCTACTCGTATGATATAATATTGGAAGTTTATAAAATTACCATGTTCACAAAATAATAAAGTACAAGACTTTGCTATATATGGTACAGCACTTTCCAAACCAAGTTCATCAAGTTTTGGAGAAATATAATGATATCCTGAAAAATTTAAATCTCGTGTGCACTCAACTGTAGTGTCTCGCCAGAGTAATGAATGGCTGGTGCATAAAACATTTGACTTAAACTATTATGAAATAAATTTTACCCATAAAAAATCATGGAAGAGATGTACATGAGAATATAGAATTGATAGATTGAAGCCCTGTTGTAGCTCTATGTATACTGTATACAAGTATGCATATATGAATTTGATTAGTTTGTGAAGAACTGTATTGCATCATAGCAGAACTCTCGTATAGCTGTAAAATAGAGTGAATGTTAATGATTGATGGGAGAATGTGTACAGTACATACTTTTTGTTATTCATGATTGATGAGGAGATGTAGTTTTGGATTCCAGAACAACAAAAACTGGCAGAAGCAGCAGTATCAGCGTAACCGTTGGAATCGTGGCGGACATCCTCCAATCAAAAACCGCGATGCCTCGGTTACTGTCCGTCCTGAATGGAAAGTCATTGAAGAGATGGACTTCCCTCGATTGTCGAAGCTCTCACTGCCCAACGTTGAAGATCCCAAAGATTTGTAAGTCATTTTGGTTTTTTTTCCATATTCCTTGTTTTTTTTCTTTCTTTAGCTATACTTAAATGTGCTTGGTTTTGGTGCATCTAGATATGAATTAACATTATTTACATAACCCATGAAATTATTCCTTCATTCATCCTTGCTAACTGAATGTCTGTTTTTGTTTTTCTTCAGGTATCTGTGTGGTTCTCTTGAGTATTACGACAAGGCTTTTGATCGAGTTACTGTCAAGAACGAGAAGAAGTTGGCTCGCATCAACCGCATCTTCCACAAGGTCACCACCACCGACGATCCAGTTATCCGTACGGTATGTATCGTGTAATCTTTATTAGTTCAAACATTTCAGGAGTGAATAGCCTCTTACCCTCATGGATATTGGTGATTAATATGAAAGAGTTTTAGATAGTGTACAGTCGCTCAAAAAACAGTCATTACTGTACTGGAGAGGGATCGATGAACTTCAAACTGAACACCATGACTCCTGTTGTCTCGGTACGGATCAAAATCTTTGTCTGTTGTGTCATATTATCTAACACAGTTTTGTAAAGATGATATTTTGAGCGACTGTACATATCATATCAGGAGGGAACAGCAATGAATTTAATGCGGGTGTTAGAATGCTGCCTGAAATTTAGTCTTTGTCGTGTATATCAGGATCCTGGAAACTCTTGGTGTTCAAACATATAAACATGATAGATCTGAAGAGACTCAAACAATTCTTGTATGTAAGATGTTATATCAGGATCAGTCATTTTTTTTTTTTTTTGAATTACTGGTTGGTTATGAAAATATATAGTTAGTAGAACAGAATAAAGTAGATGTTACAGTAATAGAATGTACAGTTATAATTATTATATTGTCTTGCAGTTGACCAAGGCTGAAGATAGTAGTAACGTGTATGCTACTGACGCCATCCTGTCGACCATTATGTGCTGCACTCGCTCCAGTAACTCCTGGGATGTGGTGGTGCAGAAGATTGCTGGCAAGCTCTTCTTTGATAAGAGAGATGACTCTGAATTTGGTGAGTTAATATTTCAAGTGATTTATAATGGCAATTAATAATGATATCTATTAGTAGTTGACATGTAGTAGATATAGTTCTGTACTGGGTAGTTTAATATTCAGAGGAATATAGTAATTCTTGTTCCTTTCACCAATTTACATTTTATGGATATCCCTTGTATGTGTATTATAAATGTTATTTCTTTGCTTATTTATTTAACTATTGTAAATTAATGTTTGATTGATTAAACAAACAGTAAGTATATTTATTTTATTTTTTCACCTGCAGATTTGTTAACTGTGAGTGAAACTTCAAGTGAACCGCCCCAAGAAGAAGGAAATTCACTGAATTCCCCAAGAAACCTTTCCTTGGAGGCCACTTTTATCAACCACAATTTCTCTCAACAAGTTCTGCGTAATGTAAGTTCCTATAACTCTAACCATAACAGGACTGTAATGGAGTATAATGTTGATGGTGTTAATTGTCTATCAGTCAAACATCCATCTTGTCTTGCCTGTTTAACATTCATGTGTAATAAAATCACTCCGTGTTCTCTGTTCAGTCCAGATGATGCACTGTATGCAAGGACTATCCTGTATATGCAATACAGTTTTTTATTATGATACATATTGTCTTTTATCTGATGTTAGTTATTGATAGTTTTAGTCGTTTCTGAAAAAAAAATAATACTTTTTCATAGTATGGCTGGTTATTAGTAAGGCTGCTAGGTTATTTGACAAAATAGTGATTGCTATTGCATGTACTTTTGTGGTCTTAGTCAAATTTGAACCAGTTTGCAAAGAACAGAATTACTTAAAGTACAAAGTTTTTTTAGGATGGAAATCGATACAAGTTTGAACATGATAACCCATTCCTGGATGAAGATGAAGAGGATGAGGTGGCCCCCGTTGGCTACCGGTATCGCAAGTGGTGTTTAGGCAATGACATAAACCTGGTGGCCCGTACTGAGCATGACTCCGTACAAGCTGCTCCCAACAATGAAATCCAGTTCATTAACATCAAGGTATGTACAATACAGTACTTTCATATAGCATTTTTCAGGAGTTTCCTTGGTAGTAGTACAGTAGGCCCTCGAAGGTCCAAACTAAAAGGGGGAACCAACTCTCTGGAAAAGCCGATTGTCCGAATTTTCCGCCGAATAATAAATGATATAAGAAACACCCAAAATACAGTACTAATGTAGTGATAAACAAATTACCGTATATAAACCAGGCATTTACCTATGATAACATGATAAGAAACATTGTATCATTACTAGAGTGAATTAAATAATATTCCCACAAACAACAATTGTCAATTCTGTTTGTTTCCCACCTCCTCGGGCACCTGTGTCCAAGTAACTGACGGGTCAAGCAGCGCCCACGGGCCTAAAATGTTCTTTGCTCTGGTTTGGGAATGTTCTTAGGGAAACTTCAAGGAGGCTTCTTTGTCCAGAACCCCTCAATCCAGATTTCCCGGGTCCGGATCTTCGAGGGTTTACTGTGCGTGTGTGTTAGGTTTTGTTGGGTACTGTTCTTTAGCAAATCATTCTCTTTTGAAGTTAGTTTATGGGAAAAAATTGGTTGTATTCCTGTAACCCAGAACTTTTTATATGACCTAGATGTATTATCATTGTTATTATTATACTGTATTTAATTTTATTACCATGAAATTAATCTTTTAAAGCTGATGAATGATTATCCTAACACTTGTACAATGGACATAAGCAGTGCATAGTTCTAAAAAAAAAACAAGTCATTTTCAGTTCCCAAAGCACAATTTTATATGCCAAGGTAAATATATCTTCCCTTTGGCTGTTGGATCTTACACTCCTTGTTCATCTTTTTTTATGCTGCTTAGTGTTCCAGAATCAGAATATTTTTACCAAAATCCCTTGTTTTCAATAAAAATTTTAGCCGTGTTGGGATCCCTCCAATTTGTCGATATTTTTTACTACATTAGACCGAAACTTAATGGAATTAATCTCTGAAAGGTTCCTTCTCATTGGCCGACTATCAAATTAACTAATTTGAAATTTTTATTAAATTTTTATAGGATTGTGAATGTAGTTGCTGCAACTTTACATGATGTCAAATTTATTACAGGCTCTGAATGAGTGGGACTCTAAGCACTCTGGTGGTGTTGATTGGCGTCAAAAGCTTGACACACAGCGTGGTGCTGTACTGGCTAATGAACTCAAGAATAATGCTTGTAAACTTGCTAAGTGGACGGTCCAAGCCATTTTGGCAGGTTCAGATCAGATTAAGTTTGGGTAAGTTTTATTGATATGTCCATTTTCTTATTTTTGTTTTTGAAATGATGGCTGTTTATTGTCACAGTGAATTAATATAAAGCTGATTAAGTCATCATAGAGGCAAGGATTTTACTTGGTATACTGCATATGGTGTGCAAACTCAGGAATTTTATGAGTGGAATATTTCTGTCTCCCAGCCAATCAATCGGCTGCCTTGCTACAAACTGACCCTAGGCCTCAGATGCAAGCTTCAAGTGAACAGACTATAGTTGATGCTATGAGCAAGTTGCCTGATCCAAGCTGGTTATAAAGTTAGATGTCAGGAGCCATCTGACTTTCTTTTTTCTCAAACCAACAATTTAGCTAAAGTTAATTTTAACAGAATATTTGTTTTTACAGATATGTATCTCGTGTTAATGTTCGGGACTCGACAAAACACATGGTTTTAGGCACCCAACAGTTTAGGCCTATGGAGTTTGCCAACCAGATCAACTTGAGTATGGACAATGCATGGGGCATCCTGCGTTGTATTATTGACATCTGCATGAAGTTGCCTGATGGGAAATACCTCATCATGAAGGACCCGAACAAGGTAAAGCTTTAAATGTAAATACATTAATGAAATGTATGACTATAGATAACAATGGAGTTACATTATACAAGATCAGTCTTGGAATATTTTGAATCAGATTAAGGTTAAATTTAATATTTATAATTGAACTATTACGGGGATGCTTGGTTTAATTGTAAAACATCAGAAATTTTAATGTCTGTAAAGCAATTTTTTTTTCTGTTGTATTTTTAAAGACAATTCAAGCATAAAGATGATAAGTAATTTTTAATTTCCACAGGCTATGATTCGTTTGTACGACATCCCAGATAACACCTTTGAGTCAGACGAGGAGGACAATGAGAAGCAACCTGATGGAGAGGGTAAGCATATGCACACAGGTTTTTTTTTATCACCATTACCATGGACCACATCATCGTCATCATCAATCACCACCGCAATCAACCACATTCCCCTTTATACATTCTCCTAGATGTTAGCCTCCGATAATATTATCCCAAGCATTTTGTGTGAGATTACAATTAAAAACTTGAGTTGTGCATATTGTACAGTACTGTCTTCCAAAATATGACACAATTGTCACTTACAAATACACGTACAAATGTGAGGTAGGGCATTAGGTTTTAAATGCCATATGAAATGTTTCAGTGTATAAGGAAATTTTGGCAGTTTAAGTGGATCACATCTTTCAAGGACAGGAAGTCAGCACATCACTTGGGTTCTTACACTGTCAGAGAGTTAATTACCGATGTGGGAGGGTTTATCACTTAGTAGCTCTCTATCTCCTGTGCATGTATTCTTACGGGTGTGAATGTAAGCAAAGCTGATTAGCACAATACACCAGACACTTGTGATGTTAATGCTTATCCCGGTTTCAGTTTTAGTAGCTTGTCTTCCCCTAGAAAATCTATTTTGTGGTGACCCTAAGTTCAAATGAATTAACGTGTTATGAAAGTGGAAATGCAATATTGTACAATTGTGAACAAAAATCCTGTCACCTGTCTTACTGCTCCACATAGCCTAAGATTCAGATTCCTGAACCTGAAGCAGTAGTCACTGATGCATTATTCTGTCCATAAATGCTTAGAATTCATGAGTCTGAATCTTGGAGCAACAGGAGAGGCAACAAGACTTTTCTTCATAGCTGCACACTCATTTGTCTTAATTTTGAAATTTTTATATGAATATTTCTATGGTTTCAATATATACTTTCAATTTCTTACTGAATCACAGTACTGTACATGTTCTCATGGCTCTAGTTCTTACACTGAAGAATTGGGCTATCCTATATGATATAAGATTCTGTATTCCTCTCCTAGTGTTGAAATTTTTTGGCATATGTAGTCTAATATACTCTGATTACCCTGTATGTGGGTATACATAAACTGAACATCTTAATTTTTTTCTGGTCATTATAAGGAATTTGATATCACTTAATTATTTCTAACTCATCTCAATATTTCTTTGGTTATGTGACAAAGATAAATTCATGAAGATTATGTGTTCTTTATATTGAAACTGTTAGTACAGTACTCTTATCCTCTTATCCCCTGGGCTATGGTCAGCATCCCCCCTCCCACCACTCGTGTATATTTTGCAACATTTAAAAACAAATAAAAAGTAGTTCCAGTCTTACAAACTGGCTATGCATGATATATACAGGAAATAAATACATGTCCTTACTACAGGTTGGCAACACAGGGCCTAGGAAGAGTCCAGAAGGCTCGTGAAGTGGCGTGTGGGTGACACAATAGTACGAGGTACAGGACAATTGTTTTTTTTATGTTGTTATTATTATTTGCATTATTAACAATAATTATTACTGCTCCAGTACAGGAAGACCTCTAAAAACGACGGTTCTACTAACGACGATTTATATTTAAGACCCTGGTTTATATAGGACCCAATTCAATTTACGCCATTATTTTCTTCGTATATACGATGAAAATATAAAAAATTAAATAAAATTACATTTTCATATAAATAATAACTAAATCCCAATATGTATTATTAAAAAAACGCCCCTTGCGCACGGAGGCTGCCGGGTTTGTGAGAGGTGACGCCAGCATAAACAGTCGCAGCTGGCGGGCCCTTTGCTTTCACGCATCTGAACAGGAAAAAGAGAAAAAACAGTCAGGTTTTTTACGTAATTTTTTGAGTCCCCATTCAACATGATCAAGAGAGCAAGTGATAGTAGTACTGGCTCAAAAGCTAAAAGAAAGTGTATAAGCTTAGCCGAGAAACTAGATGTGTTAAAACGATATGAAAAAGGTGAGAGGTGTGTGGATATTATATGGAGCAAGCAATGAACATATTTTCTGAAGTGGGTCCATTAACAGAAGAAAGCATTAAAATTAACGGGGATGTGAAAAACGGACCTGACCTCTACATGAAGATGTTTAATGAGAAAAGAAAGCAGCTGTGAAAGGTTCTTTCGACAGCTTTATTATTTGAAGGCCTAAACCATCAAATTCAGCATCATGAGCAGCTTCAGCAACAACTTCAGGTTCAGTAAGTTTCAGCAACAGCTATATCTTTATGGAAAGCTTCAGCCAGAGTTGAACCTGATGACTTCTTCATCTGAGTAAAAACTCTAACAACATTCATTGGCTGTCCTTATGGTTTAGACTTTACCACTATTTGTGAGTATATTTTTTTTTACATTAGTAAGTATTATTTAAAATATATATATGAACAGTAATAAGTGTTGTTTTCATATTCTTATGTAGAGAAGTGACAATGTTTTCACGTGTACGCACTTACATGTGTTGGCTTTCCCAATCTATTTTGTTTTTTCTTTAACATTAATGGTTAACTACTATTGTTCCATTTACAGTATTAACATTAAATAACATTACTTAGTTAAAACATACATATTCATTTTGTCACATTAATTTTACTACAGCTACAACCAGGGTCTTATCTTCTTCAGTTTCAGATGGGTAACTGACATTGTGGGTGTAAACACTGACAACAACAATAGCGTCCCAACTTTTCTTGTGTGACCATATTATTATTGACTTTTATTGTATAAGGTGCATTCATAAACATTATTTAAAGAATATAGTTTGCATTTTTCATTGTAATTTTTTTTTTGGGGGGGAGAGGGTAAAAGGCCACACTGGGGAACACATCTCATTATTATTGCTTTCTTTTAATGGTAATTAATGATTCACAAAATGATGATTCACCTTACACTGCAATATTGGAGGACACATTACCGTCGTTATTCAAGGCTTTACTGTAATTGATCACGATACTAGATATGTGCTTCAGGGATTGGTGAAGTGAGTCAAGTCCTACAACACAAAAACTGAGAAGGTGCTGGGAAGCTCAAATTTGTGAGTGAAAGATAAATACCCTACCTACTTGGCAACCTAATGTAACTAGGCCTGCTCTTTTTATTCAGATAGGCCTGCAAAAGATCTGCAGGTGCACATTATATGATGTGGCCCAAAGCCTAGGGGTTAAAGATCAATTTACATATCGGTTCCCTTGTACAGTATACAAAAATCATCCCACTTCAAATTCTTCTAAACTTTTTTATCTTAACATTACTTTTGATGTATGAATGTCTATCTGAAGATACAGGTTCAGTAATTACCATATATTCTCCGTTTTATATTGCAATCAGAAGAAGCATGATAGGAGTGTTTTGCTGTATTAGATGAGATATCAGATAAGAACATTTCATTGGTTCCTGATTTGTATTATTTAAAGCAAAGGAAAGGGAGGTACATATCATGGTCATTACCAGTCATTAAGGCATTGTTGTTAGTGTTTAAATATATTGTGTGTATACTGTATAATACTTGAGAACTTTTCAAGAATTACCGGTACAGTATCTCTATAGTTGTTTTTTTTTTCTGCAGGTGATGACTGAGGGAGGAAAGGACAAAGCCCTCAATATTTCTCAATGGTTGGTTCTCAACTACTGTGCACTGGGCAACATTTCACACCCTGAGGTCATCAACAATTTACTCTCTCATTTTTGGTACATTGTTCTCTTTCATATAACTAAAACTATGACGGTGCCCATCCAGAAATATGTTTTGACTCATTTTTTTTGTAAGATGGTTTCAAGGATGCTAATTAAAATACTGTAGACAAAGAATTGTGGCTTTTATTGTTTTGCATTTGGTACTTTGGTGTCCTATTTTAATGTTTTTTCTTGTGGGTAATTATGGTTTATAGCAGAGGTTCCCAAACTTTTTTTAATGCTGCCACTTGTCCAGTGGAACTCCACGTCTTTAAGGTAGAAAAGATCAAAGCTGTCGCACGTTGTGTGTCAAACTCGGGTGTCTGCAGGTTATCTTACTCCTATATGCATTACCAGCATTATCTCTTAAATTTAGTTTAGAAAAACAAATTTTTCAGTGCTAAAAACATAGGGCATTGGGGAACTGAACATTATAGATATATACTACTGTTTACACTGAATTCTTATCATATACTGTAACATCTGATATCTATAATGTCTTTATCTGATGTTTGCAACTAGTGCAAACAGGCAATATTTTCTGCAATTATATATAAGACAAGTAAGTGACATTTTGTAATGGGATCATATCAATGAGAATTATATACTGTAAGTACAAATTTTTATTCCCGAGACAAGGCAAGCCAGTACAGTATAGATAATACACACGGTTATTTGAACAAGTTTCTGTACCTGGGAGTGTATGTAGTTAATAAACGTATCTAACAGTTTTTGAAATTGAAGTTTAAAAGTTACAACTACAGTGAGTACTGTAGATCCAAATTGTACAAGCACTGAGTTAAATTCAGAATCATTTTGTCTCTTGGATAATCTGATCCCAAACTGTGAGCTCATTGTTAGATGTCAAATTTAATTCTTGCTTTATTGTCATCTTGAAAATCTGCCATTATGAGGGTGAAAGATCCTCATCAGACTTAAAGGGAATGGCTCGGCAGCTCAGGGAATTTCTCATGCAAGTTTCTACAGCTACTGCAGTAAATTCTGTAACTCTCTACTGTCAATTAAGTCCAATTCTCGGTTGTGAACTCTTGATTATAAGGGAAATGAGAAATTGTCAGTGCTGGCTCGTACAGTATTCAGAATACCAGTACATATCTGTAACTTGTTGATGAAAGCTTTTACAGTACAATACACTAAAAGATCAAACACCCATTTGCCTTTCAAAGTATTGAATTAAGGTGTTCAAATTTATCCATCAGTGGTGTAGGGGGGGGGGTTACAGGAATGTTCCTGTGACTGATACCACAAAAAGATCAAATTTGGTCTCATTCCTGGAGTAAGTGGGATTTAATCTTGAACAGAACTTGAACAGGAGGAAAGAAGTAAGGATGTGGTGAGACAGACAGACTGACTAAGCTAGCAACAATAAGGTGGTAGGTGAGGTGTGACTGGAAATGTTTAGAGAGTAAAACAATAATGAGATACAAATAGATGAATGGGATCCACAGGTTCTGAAATGTGGAAGTGAAAGATGTATGAAGTTAATGTGACATTGAGAGAAATGGAAGATTGGTAAAAAGATAATTGGAGAGAAGAATAAATGGGCAAAGATCAAGAGGGAGGCACTGGATAGAAGGGGGAAGACATGGCAAACAGTAGTGTGTGTGTTTCATTAGAGGGTCAGGTATCAGGTGGGTATTAGTATATCTTTTAACTTTAATTGTTATTCTGTAGATGAACAATGCCTAAAGCTCAGCCATGTTGAAAGAGAAAGAATTCAGTCCACATTTTTCATACCTGTTGCTTGATGGAAGACAGGAATAAAAACAATAATCACGGGAGGGGAGAGAATTAAACAGCTTGACGAAGGAAGGAAAGAATGAGGTATCAAAAACTACACTTGAATGGTTGGACTCTACATTATACAGTGCTTGTTAGAGGAAGTATCCAGCCGTGTGTCATGGTACCGGGCATTTTGAACTGGCATGCAAGCACACAGCTCCAAAGAACAGTGACCAAAACATTACCTAGGGCTATACGAGAGAATCAGTTTCTTTGCATTAATTATCAGTAAATTTTCTATACCTCTGTGTAGTGGTCCAGTCTCCTCACACGCTTTTGTTTGGTACATTGTGGAAAACCCTTTTGGAGTTGTCTTGAGCACCTCCAATTATTCAGACACTGTTCATAAGATCACTCCTCCAGGCAGCTTCTCTAAAACAGTAGCCACGACAAAGAAGCCCCTAGACCACCCTCTCTCTTACATCTCTGCCCATTCCCTTCCCCTAATCTCCTTTCCTGTTCTTTCCTTAACGTATCTATTGTTTAATTTTTCCTCGGTATTTTCTACCCTGGTGATGTTACTCCTTTCTCCTGTCCTCACTTCGTAGTTTTGGGAATTTCAATTGTTCTATTTCGCAGCTTAAATTTCTTCCTTGATTCCTCATTAAAGTCTCTCATTAAATTCTCTACTTTCCTCTCCATATCTCATGCTGGTACATTATGTTGTCTCTTCCTTGACGTTTATTTCAATTCTGTCTCGTCATACACATCACCTTCCATTATTTCATTTATTTCCCACATCCTGAATCGACTTTACGTTTTCCCATTGTCTATCTAAAGTACAGTGGATGTATAGCTGCATTGTATACCTACACTATGTATACCTGCCGAATCATTGTAAACTTGTATTATGTAACATACATTTATCTAGGACGAGGTATCTGTATATTAATGTATCTGTCTTTCCATTTATCTCTATCTATCTATCTGTCGTCTCATATATGCCCTTCCTGTTATCTCCTTAGCTTGTTTATGTCTTCGTTATACAGTACAGTATTTGTTTTAGTCTTTTATTAATCGTTCAGTTTTGAGGTGCAGGCGGATATGCAGTTCCCGTCCAATTGCGAAAATTTTATATAACTAAAATTTATGAAGATATTTTTTACTTGTGGTTATGTGCCTTAGAAAAATGATCACGTGGGACGTATACTTTGTTTAGACCATCCTGGATCATATCAATCCTTCTTAAGTATATTAATATGTTTTCATAATTTACGTCAGGTCGAACAACTCGTTTAACTCAACAATCATACAGGAACCGAAACACCAGAGCCAAGACTTGTTACTTAGATCTAAAAACTATTAAATTAAGTTTATCCTTCACCTTCATACCAAAGTCCTTATGTCTATCTATTTGGTATGAAAAAAAATGCCCTAAAATAAAGAAGGCTTGAGAGTCTGGCAAGGAACATAACACTAGACACTCCTACTTATTCATTTGTTAACCTCAGTTTCAAAGCGACCACCCCACGTCCCAACCCGTCTTAGATTCCAGTCAAGTTCTGCTTTGTGCTGAGTTTTTGCTTCTGCTCTGACCTTGTGAACAGTTAAATGTTTCCTTTGTGATATTAAACACTTATAGTGGATGATGTCCTGTAGCCACGCCATACTCGACACTACTGCAAATCGTTCATTGGTTTGCAAGTGTGTTCCATCTGTTAACGAGTGTAGCAGTGTTCTGTCGGCTAACAAGTTGGCTTGTTTTCGGGGCTAGCAATTTCCTGCACTGAAGTAATCCAGAGTCCAGTAAGTAGATGAACTTATCATGAATATTGTGTATTATACTAGAGTCTGGCCCAAGGCTACTAAGTGGTGATTCTTGTTTGTTTTTGTCAAGGAATCTCTGTAAAGTAAGTAACCCCGTCAGTTGTTTGCTTCGGGTATCCTGTTTCAGTAGTATCAAATGCGTGCGTAATGTACTATCAGGGTTTCATGTGTATTCGTTTATGTTTATTGTGTAACAAACTGGTATTATTCTGAGGAATTTATAGCCAGTTAATTGAAACAGTGTCGTCCAGTGTGAGGTTTTTTTCATAAGTGATTATTCCTGTTACCTACGCAACATCGCTTTAAGCTTTCCAGGTATTTCAGTTCCTCTCTTGACAAACCTTCACAACACAATATGCCTGGGTTAAAAATATCTTGCCTTCACGTATAAATATAACAAACGAATTTTAGTTATTTCATTATAATAATTGGGTCGCTTATAAACGGAGTCATGGAAAATAATTGCCGTTTTCAGGGAAGCAGAGCTGTTGTCCTCCCCGAGTATAGAGCCATGGTAGGGGTCGGGGGAAGGGGGGTTAAAATTACTTGTTTGATGACGTGTTAGTTTGCAGGATTTATATATCTTTTTTCATACCACGAGTAGTTTTTCCTCAAATTTAATAGAAATCATCTTTTAATTTCTTTGTTGTTAGTGACGTAAGTGACTGTAATTTAGTTCTGGTTCTCGTATACGATGGCTGGGTGGAGTAATTGTGAACACCATTTAAGCCTGGCCTCTGTTCCTTTATTCCTGAGGGGGGTGAAGAGGGAGGTCTTCCCGGAGGAGATGAAAGGGAAGGTGAGTAGGGGGTGGAAATGAAGTGGAGGGGCAGTCAGGGAGAGGAGGATGAAAGGGGGGGGGGAGGTAGGAGAGGTATCGGTGTCACCACATGGGTCGCGTTCATTCAGGTGATGGAAGGTTGTCTCATTTTTTAGGATCACTGAACCTTACAGTAAGTGATGGACTGTCGGGGTACTGGACATGAGGTTGTGTTTAATGCAGCCACTACTCAACAGATGGGGCGGGGGAGGGTAGGGTGGGATGGGGTGAGGTCTGGAAATAAATTTTTGTCCTCTTGTGAACGCTTGGATTACCTAAGAATTCGCTCCCCTCAGCTTATTTGACTTGAATATTAACCATTCCAACGTTACCTTGGGAGGGGGGGGGGGAGTAGGTTATGTTAGGTTAGACATTTAGGGTTAGGTTAGGTTAGCATTAGGGTGTAGGTTAGGTTGGTTTGGGTTAGCGTAGGTTAGGTTAAAATGGGTTTGCGTTAGGGTAGATTAGGTTGAGTTAGGTTAGCGTTAGGGTGGTTTATCTCCAGGTGATCCAAACGCTTATTGATATACAGTATAGATCCATAAGTATTTCGAGACATTACTGGTCATTAAGTGCAGCTAAACACCATTACCAATTCAAGGTACAATCGGCTACAGTTTCACTTGTTACAAGTGCGCGGCGCGTTTTAGGAAATGTGGCAACTGTGTGTTTGTTTAAATTAGAGTAAAACTCCCGGAATGGGCCTAAGGAACCTCGCAATAGTCGACTGACTAAGGATGATAAA